CACACACACACACACATATATACACACGCACGCACACACACACACACACACACACACACACACACACACACACACACAACCACACACACACGCACACACACACACACATACGCACGCACGCACGCACATGCACACACACACACATGCAGACACACGCACGCACGCACGCACGCACGCAGGAACGCACGCACGCACGCACGCACGCAAGCACGCACGCACGCACGCACGCAGGAACGCACGCACGCACGCACGAACGCACGCACACACACACACGTACCATATCGGTGGGTAGGGTGTCTTTCACATAAGCGATGTCCAATGCCATCTCATTGCGAACCATCACAAAGTCTATGAACGCCCGCCGCGAACCCGCCTCCAGATACCTGCCAATCAAACCCCAATCATTGATTATTGATCGATCCCTGATTATTGATCACAGGTTATTGATCACTGATTATTGATCACAGATTATCAATCCATGATTATTGATCATAGATTATCGATCCATGATTATTAATTATTGATTATCAATCCCTGATTATTGATAACAGATTATCGATCCATGATTATTCATTATAGATTATTAATCCCTGATTATTGATCCCTGATTATTGATAAAAGATAATTGATTGCAGATTATTGATTGCAGATTATTGATCATAGATTATTGATTGCAGATTATTGATCATAGATTATTGATTGCAGATTATTGATCATAGATTATTGATTGCAGATTATTGATTCTTAATTAACGATTGCAACGACCTCATTGTCAAAAACTGATCACCGATACCTGATATTGATTATTGAGCAAATGTTATTAATTATCGATCAATGATTGCCTCGACTTTACTGTCAATAACTGATCATCGATCACCGATAACTGATTAATTATTGATACTTTGATTTTGCGACACCACAAACAAGCGAGCGTACCTTTAACCGGCAACGCCGCAAACGAGCGAACAAAGTGGCGGCAGCGGTGCAAAAACAAGCGAACATGCTTTCGACTCCCCAGGGCAGAGCGCGAAAAACAAGTGAACATACCTCCGACCATGCCGGCGGCTCGCGAGGAACAAGTGAACGTACCTGCAGTAAGCTTCGGAGAGGTCCTGCCGTGGCAGCTGCACCATCAGCTGCTTCTCGCGGTATTTCTCGCCGGGCGACTCGAACAAGCGAACGTACCTTTAACCGACGGCGGCGCGCGTAGAACAAGTGAACGTACCTGCAGTAAGCTTCGGAGAGGTCCTGCCGTGGCAGCTGTACCATCAGCTGCTTCTCGCGGTATTTCTCGCCGGGCGAGTCGAGACGCGGCACCTTGTGGTTCGGCAGCTGGTTCATGTACTCGGAGACCTGCGGAGCGAGGGAGCGCGTGAGCGAGAGAGCGACGCAGTGAGGCGACGGACGAGATCACGCGATGCTATTGTTCGCTGTTCGAGAGCGAGGGAGCGCGTGAGCGAGAGAGCGACGCAGTGAGGTGACGGACGAGATTACGCGATGCTATTGTTCGCTATTCGAGAGCGAGGGAGCGCGTGAGCGAGAGAGCGACGCAGTGAGGCGCCGGACGAGATCACGCGATGCTATTGTTCGCTATTCGAGAGCGAGGGAGCGCGTGAGCGAGAGAGCGACGCACGGCGGCGACGAACGAAATTATTCTAACGCGTGAAATTCTAACGCGAAGTCAATTCGGAAGCATTTAAAACGACATTTCGCAAACTTTGTCGCCTGTAGGAATCAAATCTCCATCGTGGAGAATTTAATCTGCACATTCATTTAATGTCGTCGCGTCTGCTTTCCAGTATGACGTCATCCCGCGCACGCGCGCGTGCGTGCTGGCGTCGGCATTAATGCCCGGATGTTGTGCGATGAGAGCATAACAGTGATCGAAGCAGATGTGACCATCTGTAGCATCATCCTCAACATCGTCGTCGTCGTCGTCGTCGTCGTCGTCGTCGTCGTCGTCGTCGTCTCTTTTCTCCCCTCTCCTCCTTTCTCTCTGCCTCCTCCTCCTTCCTCCTCCTCCTTTCCTCCTCCTCCTTCGCTCCTCTCCTGCCTCCTCCTCTGCTCCTGCCTCCTCCTCCTCTCTCCTCTCATGCATCATCATCATCGATATCACATAATCATAGGCCATCATTATCAATTTATGTCACACAATCAACCCCAAAGCATCCGCTCCATCGACTACACGCGATCATTCACTCACTACAACCACCGAGCAACAGCAGCAGCTAACAGCAGCCGCAGTCAGTAAAAGGCAGGCAGCAGCAGCAGAGGCAGGCAGCAGCAGCAGGTCGATCAACAACAGCAACAACAAATCGCAGCGAGCAACAGCAGTCCACCACCGACCCCACTCACGCGAACGCTCCACACGACGCAGCACCACACCACCATTACTACACACCAGTCAGCCACGCCACACTCTACCGACCACCCACAGCACGGTCACCAGCTCACCACTAGCCGACCGATTAGCACTCATGCACCAAGGCACACCTGCCCCGGCAGCTAGCAGAACCCCACCACGCACTACCACCACCCACCAGACCACCACGACCACACCGAGCAGCAGAGCAGCAGCGGCCGCCATCCACCACACCACCACACACAGCAACCACACTCAACCCCCACCCACACCACCACCACCACTCACCACCACCACCACCACCACCACCACCAGCAAGCAGCAGCAGCGCAGTACTACACCACACCACACCACACCGACGGACCAACTCGACGCAAGCAGCAGAAGAGCAGTACTACCCCACACTACACCTACACCACACGCACTACGAACCACCATCCACCAACCCACTACTACCACCGACCAACACGCACAGTAGCAGGCAGCAGAGCAGCAGCCAGCAGCAGACAGCAGATACTCCCACCACCACTACCACCACCACCGTAACCACTCAACTGACCACCAGACCGACCTCCACAGCACACACCACCACCCCCGCCAGACAGCAGCAGGCAGCAGCACCACTCACCACCCGTACACCACAGCACGCAGCCACCAACCACCCACCCACCAGCCACACAACCCAGCAGGACAGCAGCAGCAGCAGTCCGCAAGCATCACTAGCAACAGTACTACCACTACCACAATCATTCATTCTTTTTCTTCGGCATCAGACGTGATCTCCACCGAGCAACGCATTTACAACTCGGAAAATATTTGCTCTCGCGAATCCATTCAACTTACAATGACTCTGCCAGAAATCGTCTGCAGTATTCATAAGCTGCGCGTATATATATATATATATATATAATATATATATATTGCTATATGACAACGCCACTCTCCCAGCTTTGTGCGACATCGTAATAATACGAAGACATTCATATTAAAATTTTGACGGCTTCACAAAAAAGATGACGGACAGACAGTAATGAAAAAATTCCTCCCAGCCCGCCATCAAACCGGATTGACACCAAATCGCGCCAACAGATGGCAGCACGGTACAACGATCGGCTGCCTAGCAGCAGTGCCTAGTTGGCGAGGGAATCGCGAGCTGCCAGATTATCGAATCTGTTTGACGCTTGGCAATAAAAAAACCTCGTATAAACGCCTCGAGGGGCGCCACTTGACAAGGTGTGAGCAGCAGATAGCCGAGGCTCGGCAGGGGCGACGGGAATTCGAACGTTAGTGAGGAAGCACGGCAGGAGTAGCGGGAATCTACGTGCGCGCAAAGAAGCCCGGCGGGGGGAGTTGGAGCCGAGAAGCAAGCGAGGAGGCCCGGCAGGTGTGATGATCATGTGTAGATACGTGGGATGAGGAGGCTGAGGATAAATGATGATGATGATGATGATAATTTAATGAAGCAAACCACTACTTAATAGAAGCCCTTGCAGCTGGAACTAATTAACGAGTTTGTTCGCGTCAGATTTTCGCTTGTATGAGTTTCAGGGAGCAGAGAGACAAGGGGAAGAGGAGGCAGAGGGAGAGAGAGACAAGAGGAAGAGGAGGCAGAGGGAGAGAGATACAAGAGGAAGAGGAGGCAGAGGGAGAGAGATACAAGAGGAAGAGGAGGCGGAGGGAGAGAGATACAAGAGGAAGAGGAGGCAGATGAAGAGAGATACAAGAGAAGAGGAGGCAGAGGGAGAGAGATACAAGAGGAAGATGAGGCAGATGAAGAGAGATACAAGAGAAGAGGAGGCAGAGGGAGAGAGATACAAGAGGAAGATGAGGCAGATGAAGAGAGATACAAGAGAAGAGGAGGCAGAGGGAAAGAGATACAAGAGGAAGATGAGGCAGATGAAGAGAGATACAAGAGAAGAGGAGGCAGAGGAAGAGAGATACAGAGGAAGATGAGGCAGATGAAGAGAGATAGCAAGAGAAATGAGGAGGCAGAGGGAGAGAGATAGAAGAGGTAAGAGAAGGAGAGGAGAAAGATACAAGAGAGACGGGGAGGCAGAGGGAGAGAGAGACAAGAGGAAGGGAGGGGCAGAGGGAGAGAGATAGAAGAGGAAAGGAGGCAGAGGAATGAGAGATACCAAGAAGAAGAAGGAGGCAGAGGGAGAGAGATAAGGAGAAGAGGAAGGAGAGGGAGATAAGATACTAAGAGAGAAGGAGGCAGAGTGGTAGAGAGACAGAGGAGGAAGGGGAGCAGAGGAAGGATGAAGGGAGACAGAAGAGAAGAGGAAGATGAGGCAGAGAGCGAGAGATACAAGAGAAAGAAGAGGAGGCAGAGGGAGAGAGAGACAAGAGGAAGAGGAGGCAGAGGGAGAGAGAGACAAGAGGAAGAGGAAGCAGAGGGAGAGAGATAGACAAATGGCGAGGAAAATCAAGGGAGAGGGAGAGGGAGAGAGAGGGACAGAGACTAAAAACGAGAGTGAAAGGGAAAGGTAGAGTGAGAGGAAGATGGACAGAGACCAAGAGAGGCTAAATTTAACGGGGGGTAACGCACATGGGCATAAACGCGCGCATGTACGCACGCACGCACATGCGACACATACACGCACACATGCGCGCCCTCTACACGCACATAGTCACAGATAACGCAGAAACACACGCGCGCACGCACGCACGCACGCACGCACGCAATCACACACACACACACACACACACACACACACATACACACACACACACGCGCAC